ATGTGGAGATATCCTTGGAGCAAAATGCACTGGTTCAGATGAACGCTGTTGTATTTTCTTGTAAAGCTTACTCAAGAATGTCCAGCTCTGTGTGGAACTGCAATTTTTTGTGAAGTTCTGACCACAAAAATAAATAAAATATTGTGCACCAGAAACGTTTAAAATCAGATTCTATTTTTTTTGGTTTGCATGATAAACACCAACGTACAACCAGCCTATGTATTTTATGAATATGCAACTGTGCCATTTACCACGTATGTGTCTCCCTTTCTAAACCTGCTGTGTAATCATTTCAAGGATTATTAACAGTTGAGTTAATCCCCTCTGAAATATTCCCATGAGAGCAGTCATCTCCAATATGCTCCAGAAAAATGATTTACCTAGAATCTGTCTGGAGTGAAATGGAATAGAATAGAATATTTCTATTAGCAGCATAGCAGATGCCCCATTACGTTGTGAGCTTCGACATCTTCAGTACTTTAAGGTTCACCCTCAGATGAATGGCAAGGCAAAATTTAAGTCAAAACTTAACTAGCACTAGATAGATCTCCTTGCAAAAAGATTAGATTCTGAAACAAAAATACAATGAAGATAAGCCCCTAAAATCTAGATTTACTTTTAACACAAACTTGCAAGCTATGATCCAAGTGAGGATTATGGTACCCAGTAATTGTGGAAAATCTAAATATAAGCTAAACATCTGCACAACATTTGGTCCCAAATCTTCAGTTCTTACAGTAGTAAAAAGAGACATCAAAGTAAGAAACAAGTTACATTCAAAATCCTACTGCACAGTCTGGGACTCTTATGCTGTACTATACATGAATATGTTTAATAAAGAAACTATGATAAAAGCAAAGCTAGCAAAAATGAATGTAGAGGTCTGGTGAAATAGAGGGTAAAGATTCTACTGGGATATTTTTCATCTTGTAACTCTGCCCTTTTCATCAGACCCAACAAATCTGAATTCCCCTTCTACTGACTAGGTCAGATAGCCAACAAGTACAGTAAAATTCAGTTATCATTTTCGATAAATGGTTAAGCCCATCATTTCATCCATTTTTTCGAAAAAAGAACATACTTTTGTATTTTTTACTATCTAAAAACAATTTTGTCATCACAGAACACAATCACTTTGTGAAGTGAAAGGCCTTTCCAGGAGTGAATAAATGTATTCACAGTAACGAATCCGAGTATCTATACATGCTCATATCTAAACAGCTCGTCCTTCAATGTGACGTCTAATATCTTGTTTAGACATATACTCAATAGTGTGCCCCATATCTACCCTTATAGCAATACACACAGTATGTTTCACTTATTAGGAATCTATTTAAAGGGTATTATTCTTATTTTTCATATGCAAGTACAGGTAAACATTCACTTCAACAATTGTATTGTATATATCGCTTCTACCTACCTGCTTCTGGAGTTCTGCCAAGTGGTAAGGTAATGCGCCTTCAGCCAGCGGTGCTATTCTCTCAATATCTGCCAAAGTTAATCGCCTTTATACAAGGCAAAGAAAAGTAAATTACTGTTAGATAAAATATCGAACATATTCAATACAGTATTCCTGGCCACACCCCACAGAATACATCCTGAGTTTAAAAAACACCTGTCATACTTCAATGCACATTGAAGAAGTCTGCTACACTGCAATAAAAATCCTTGGAGTTAGAAGGAAACTCTCTTCTTGTAGCTCAGAAGTAGAGATAAAAGGAGCTTGGATTATACAGAAGCAAGTTCCTGATGACTAGTAATAAGGGTTATAATATACAAATTAAACTAGTTCTAAGCATTGCTACCTAAGATTTCGTATGTGTTAAAGACCCTCGCAAAACATTAACACTTAAAATTAATAATATCATTGTAGCCTTTTGGGACTAGTGTAATGTATTTTGCTATTTTATATATATACTTATAATTGTAATTGTGCTGGACATAAACAACTCACTTTGAAAACTCCTGCATACACCAATGTCAGTCTATACTGAATACATTACTGTAATGAAAGACAGTATTTATTTTGTGTGGAACACATAAAATAAATTTATAAAATTAAGATGAAAACAGATAGTTTTACATAGAAAACAGCAAAATTATGATTTTTATATGATAAAATTGTTTATTGCTATGTTACCCAGTAACACTGTATAAATCTGTAAGTTGGTAGAGAATATCTATTTCCAGTGGTGTAACTTGTCCAAATTGAATTGCAGCATGGGTAAATTCCTCTGGATTTGAAAAGGAAAGAGAACAAAGCAGCTGTCAAGTTTCTTCTTTAAATGCTCACAAATAAATTTAACATCACAAAAATGAAATCTATCACCAAAAAGCAAAATCCCTAATGCAAGAGGTAAAAGGTATCTTTAGGAGAACATCTCTTGAAACAGGCCTTTTCAACGCAGAGCAAGGCTAACTGCACAACTTTGATTTAGAGTAAGAATTCATCAAAGTCAACAAAAATCCTCATATGAGCAAGCTTAATAAAGTGACACAATTTGTGATTCTTGTTTCTGAAGTTCTGAATAATGGTCCATTATTTACTGATTTACATGCAACTGACTTATCTTTTGCCATGTCCAGATTTCCTTCTCTGCTAGCTTGGAACAACTCCAAACTTAGGTACTCATCTAGCCCAATTACATGTCATATTTATGACATAATTGCAAACAACAGTGGCCAAGTCTAAGAAGTGAAAACACAGTAGCTTTTTTTTTTTCCCGCAACACAAATCCAAGCACAAGGTATTTGTGCAACTGCACCAAAAAACATTGCTATGCAGTTTGTTAGCACAATTTGGAGATTGAGGACAGGAGTCTAGAGATGAAAAGTGTATGCAGAGCATATGAACAGAAATCAAACAAAGACAAAAAACTAATTTGGCATGCTTTTTACCACACATAGGCTATCCATACAGATAATAAAATCAGTCATAAAATATATCATAAAATGACTACAAAAACAGTCCACTCATGTTTGAAGCAAGACTGAAATATGGCAACCTTTCACAGGCACAGGGACTAGCTATGTCCTAACAGACAAAAACTACATATAAAACCACTCTGGTAAGTAAGCTCTAACAACTTATAATTATCACTATTTTTCTAAAAAAGATTTAATTATGGGTAAAGTAACTTGAGCTATACCAACATGGAAATTAGTGATGATGGATTTTCAAACTGAATCCATTGTGTCACATTCCCTAGGCACTTTCCATCTCTAGGCAGTGATGCGCTCCTTTCAACAGGCGGTAAAATCCTCCAAAATATACTGACTTGCAGTTATCCATTCAAACTAATAAGGCCAACACAGCTTCAGCTAGAACCCCAGTTCTTCTCCTTAATGAGCTAGGTGAAAATCATAACTAACCTGTGAGGATGAAAAATCACCCTTTAAACACTTTCACAGTAGCCCTATCTTTGCATATTATTGCATCTTCTGACTTGCCTTAACCCATATGCAACACCAGATTACAAATTGGACAGAACTAGAAAAAGTTAATAAAATGTAGGAAATATACTTTACCTTTTGTGACTTCAACATCTTTTTTTGTACCTGCTATATTACTGTATATCTTCCTAACAAGATCCATGTTATTCAGAAGGGCATTAAATGCATTGAAATAGGAGAAGCTGACCTGATGTGAAACAGTTCCACCAGCTACCTTTAAAGATTAAATTAATGCAGTTAAGTGCCTTAAGCCTTTTTACAACATCTTACTACAAATTACAGAAACATCCATTTGGGCAAATAAGGAAATAATTAAAGATATAATTCTATTCCTGTAATTTTAAGATCATTTTAATAGAGACATGAGGAGAGAATTATTAGACAGGATAGTATTTTGTTGTAAAAACTGAACATTAGGAAACTATCAGGAAGTAATCCTGTAAGTAGATTATCACTCAGTTTATCTGATAGACACACTAAATATGTCACTATTTTCCTAATACTGTCTATTTCTAACAGAGAAATGCATGTAAGTTCTAATTTAGATAAAGGCACTAAATGAATTCTTGCATCACATACAGTAGTGGCCATTTATTTCAAAATCTCAAGTTAGCAAATACTATAAATTTTACAAAAGATGGTATGCTTTTTTAGTTAGGCAATGCAAGACTTATAGGTGAAATGCCAAAATAAAAGTTAATATTTTACATTTTGCATAACTTTCATCCTTATATACTTTCAGTTTATAACTTTTACGTCTTTACTGAACCTACAGGTCTATCACAGCCGCAACCATTCTACCTCTAGAATCTATACACTGCTGATCTGAAAAAGAATGTAAGAGGACATAAAAGGACAGAACTGTTAGTAGTCTCCACCATTTGAGATGTGTCACATAGTCAAGTATAAAAATTAGATGCTTTTGACATAAATGATTGTTCCTTCTGTGCCAAGCAGTTAGCCCTGCTTTAATGTAAAGTATGGTAGACTAACTCAAACTGTTTCCAAAGGCAATTTAAGCATGTAAACTGGACTGCCCAACTTTTCCACTACTGCAGCCACACGGGTGCTGCTGTGTTTCACTCTGCCCGCTCTGTTATGAAGGTTATAATCTTTAGCACCAAGGCAGCGGTGAACAGGTAGGAGAAGACAAAGTGGGAAAGGAGCAGTAACATCTAAAAACATTACAGCTAGTAAATGCTGAATTCAAGGCACTTTTCTCTACACTTACTGAAACTATATTTTCTTCCACAAATGGAGTTAACATATGTGAGCGAAGGGTAATCATGATGTCATTGAAGTCCAGCCCAGTTATCATACCACTTTTATTTTTGTCCTTCAATGCAAAGGCTTGTCTTGCATGTTCTGACTGCAGCTCCTAGAATGAATATATAGAAATAGCAGTAACTCACTGTTCACAAAACTCTTACTAATTTCATATTCTTACAGCATGCCTCGATACATCTGTGTGTGCAGACCACAGCACATGGCAGTTTAAACTTAAAGGCAAGCTCAACTAAAACAAGAAGTCTGCGTATTGATTCTAGCCACAGATTCATTCCTCTGCCAAAGAAAAGCCTCAATTCAACTGTAAGGAAATACACACTTTCGCTAAATGGTTTGAGAAATAAACTTCACATACCCATGCCCTGTCTGCTTTCTATTTCTTTATTAAATACTTAACTGCTAGAGAAACTTCTGATACGGATCTTAAAAACTCAAAATGAGCTGATCTCTTACACATCCAAGATGAAATATGACTGGGCTATTATTAACTAACTCATTGAAAAGTACTTGAAAATAAACAGGAGGACAGTGAAAATTATATAATATAGATTTAGACTGCCCCCAGCAGCTACCCCCCATAACATCAGAAATAGCCCCTCATTTCACGCAATTTTAAACTCCTGTACAATCTATAAAAACCTTCATATAAAGCACACTGCAGCAACCTAACCTCAAGATAATAATGATGGTTGTAAATTCTATGTCCCGAAGAAGTTGTTTCCTTCTATTCAAACAGTAAAGTACACGCAGCTGTCATTCAGACCTCTAGAAGCAGATAAAATAATAACCATGTTCTGGCAGACCATAAGACGAGGGCAAACTATCCAGCTTGCATCACCTTTACAGTAATTTATCAAGTCTTATAACCTCAAGATCAAAGTTTTCTAGCCAGGGTGCAACAAGTCTGCTCTAAGTCCCAAACCCCAGAAGATGCTGTTAGACCAAGTAAGAAAAACAACCCAATGTAAAAGGAGGTACAACAATATCCAACTTGTGTATATATTAAAATTATTGCAGCCCACACTACTCTTCCCTACTAAGGGATTTTATTATATGATGACACTAAGATGTTACTGTATCGTACATTACTGTGGAACAACAGAAATAAAACCAGAAGAGATACTTACCACTTTGCTCTGGGTGCCTAACATGAAGATTCTTCTCACTAGCAATTTGATTTTTTTTCTGCACTACTGTCACAAATTCATGCCTGGGATCACTTAAAATAAGCAGCAACAAATGCGGCACATAGTTTATTCCTTAAAAGTAACATCAAGTTATACTGCAGCCTTGAAAGACTATGCCAAACTTTAGTATCTTGATTTACAACGCAGGCTTCAGATCCTATCTAGTTAGACGTGTTCTTCTAGAATCTGCTCTAGATCAGTAATCACAGATTATATCAAAGCACATCCACCACCAAGTATATCTAAGACTATTTTCTACTAAAGGCTAGCTCTGAAAGGACATTATCTATTTTTTCTTCAGGTCTACCATACAGAAAACTATGAGTAATATCATGAGGTGATCACTGAATATTAATTTAAGGAATTCAGTGCAATTACCTACAATTCTGCAAACTCCCTTCTTGTGAATTATAATGTATATTTCTCCTACTTTCCTCATTCTCCATTCTTTATAACTGATGTCTTCCTTTATCTCCTTCTTGTATAACGCTCCATTCAGAATGTTTTTAACTTTTTGGCTTAGCAAAGTCCAGTTCTAGAAGTGCGATTCTTTAAAGTCTGATCTCTAGAGGGTGCTTCAGGAAAGCAGATTTGCCTCCTCCAAAGTTGGCTGCATTTAAGACCAAGCTCCCATGTGGCGGCATGCATGCCAGTGGAAGACAAAAAGAGTAGTAGGATTTCATAAAACTAAAAGAAATGTTAAAGAAGCTAAAACCTTTTTACGGGAGGTTACATGGTTAATAACAACTGGTTATATTAACGTTGCAGTCTTTCTCTGGTAGAGGTTAGCTTTGCTATTAAATTCGTATGACAGAAAAAGTGGACTCTCAATCCAGTTTAACAACAATCAGTGAAATAATTTATTTCAAAAACCCTATATTTAGTCTCCTTCTTTATAGGATGGTATTTAAGTTAACGAGTATATATTGTTTACAGAACTGGTATAGAGAAATAACAGGTCATTATAACTGTCAGGATTAGTATCAGATAATGACCATCACTCCCAGAATAAGTATAAAATTTATAATGGTATTAGTGTATTATTAGAAGTGAAAATTAATTTCCATTCTACTCTCGAAGAAGGTTAATAACTGACCTGAAGAAACTGAGTGAACTCTGAATAGTTAAGATGTTTCTTCCTGTTATGTCCAAAATGCAGTCGAATGAACTCACAGTCCCAGTTGAAGGGGATTTGAAGATGAATCGGAGTTTGTTCAAATATTTCTTTGACATTTGCTTTGGGAGAGAGAAAAACAACAAGTGAGCTCTGGAGTACAGTAAATCTGCAAACATTCCAGGAAGGATACAAACAAATGATGTTTTAAGCAGCTGTTTAAGAAGTGGTTTAGTCTGTTAAGAATAATTGCTAAACAAACCTTTACAGACGTGTATAAGAACACATTTGTGACACAACGTGATACTTTTTGTATTACTGCTTAAAACCTTGGAGTGAGTGTTTTATTTAGTTTTAATTAAGAAGCAATTTCCCTCATGCATGACAAATAAGAGCTATTTTGCATTCTGATATAAAAATCAATAGTGGTTCTCCATCTCTGCTAGGAGTCAAATTAAGCCCTTTATCAAGAGCACGAATACCTGCATTACAATCTCACGCAATATTTGTCATACTAAGTATGGTTTGATTGAAACTTGATTATTACAATCACACTGTCTGAATATGTCTATTGAAGATAGGTATAAGAAATGCCATCTAAAACATATCATTAACTCAGCAGAAAGCACCTTATTAAAAGCTTTTGATAAGGCCTTAGCACAAAAATCAAATCCCATAAAACATAATTGGTAGTCTCAGTTATTAAGATGTTTTAAGATAAGTGAAGATAGAGATGTCCTCTTCAAAAGAAGAAAAAAACCTGTCATTTCAGAATATGGAATTCTCCATATGTATACTATACAACTGAAATCTTAATGCCAAGTGCATTATCTGAATTCAGTCCAAAACCTCATGTGAAAAAAAGACATGCTTTATTCATATGCGGCATTGTCATGCTGCAAAACAAGCCTGCTTTTTGTGAGATTATCCAACCACATCAACAGTAAAACTGGACACCTATCCATATCACATGAACACTTTTCAAAATCTACCTCAAAGTATCTAATTTGATTTGTTTGTATCAACTGATTTAGAACCTACTAGCGACCAAAATGAAACGTAGCATATAGCTTAAATTTAAAACAAAGTATAAAATGTTAGCTGAAAACATACTTGTTTTATATGTTCAAACAGTTGTGTTAAAAGACAAAATGTAATGAGAACTTAAATATTATTTAATAACTCCATCAAGAACTATGTACTTGGCATGTGTTGCTTTCTCTACGTTAAAGGACTACTTGATTAATTTTTTCAATTCTGTAGTCACTCTACTAGTTCTAGCTCAAATCTAGGCAAATCACTATATGGTTTTATCTTTTCAGTGAGGCAAGGAAGGGGCATGTTCAGAACAAATCTGTCTCACCTGCTTCACAGTAGATTTGGGGTTACACATTTGAAGTGCAGATTATGGCCAGTAAGTAGTTTAACTGTAATTTAGCCCTTACTTAAAGGTCAAATATAGACTACAATAAAAAACCCCCTGCAATTTAAACCATAGTTTCCACTGCAAGGTAGATTAAAGAAGTTGTTCAGGTAAACAAGAAACTAAAAAAACCTACCTTAACCACTTGTAACTGTCCACTTGTACCTATTCACTGGTATAAATGTGCAAGCTGAGGGTTAAAATGAAAATAAAGCACCCAATATATAGTGCTAAACTATTTCTTTTGCCATAATTCCTGTCAAAGTTTTGTCTGTAGTAGATTTCCTCATCATTGCTAGAGATCAAGGAACCAGATGATGCAAATACAAACTCCCCACCTACCACTGCTGCACTGGAGCTTCTGACCAAGGTTCTTTGTGCCCTGCAGGCACAAGCAGACCACTGTGGCTCACTGCCGACACTGCAAAATGGCACTGAACTCAGGGTGGGACAGAAGACAGACCTGCTTAATTGGATCTATTGGCTTGGCTACTAACGAACTAACAGGGTGCCAACTAGTGACTGCTTACACATCCGTAGAACATTTCTAACAGTTGTACTAACAAAAACCTGGGAAAGAACATGCTGAACCAGCCAAAAAAAATTTACATTGTATTTTCAATTATTTCTAGTGATTGCTTCTTTCAACCTTAGAGAGAGGTTAAAAAAGCGTCTTGCTTTTTCTTGTAAGAAAATATTCATACGTGCTCGTATTGATAGATCTTCCAATTATTTTTAATGAGACTTACGCCCCTGGTCTTTTCATAATTCCCATTCAAGCATTTAACTGTACATTTCAACAACCAAGGGTTGTTTTCCTACGCTACTGATTCATATTCAACACATCACAAGTCAAGATTCTTCAGCACATAAAGATAATACTGGTAAATAAATTAATAAATTTATATTCAATAGTTGAATGTATTGGTACTTGAAGAATCCCAGTAGTGGCTAACTTAGCTTTAAAGAATGGTATACAGATTAGACTGTTGCTCCTTTGAAAATTGAGGTGCCTTGTCCATTTTTTTCCCCACAGGCAATCACTCACAATCAGTAGCGTATACTGCACATATCACTGTGGTCCAGGTTTAAGGATAGGCTGTTTTATCTAATCACAGAATTGTTGAGGCTGGAAAAGACCTCCGAGATCATCAAGTCCAGCCTATGACTCAACACCATCACCACTGGCAGACCACGGTACTAAGTGCCACATCCAGCCTCCCCTTGAACACCTGCATGGATTAATTCCATGGTGGCTTTGTTCATGAAACATTTGGGATACTGGAGCAAAACTGTACCTGTTCTGAATAACTGATAAAGTTGATACTGTTGAAATTCCAAATACAGTTTTCCAAAGCCATTTGGGACTCTCAGACATCTCTAGATAAGCACTAAAATTTACTACTTCTACCCAAGAGTAGTGATGCTCTCTTTACAATACAACAAGAGTACCTTTTTAATCCAATTTTCTTGGCTATTCTCTAATATTAAAAGAAATAGCCATCACCACAGCTAAACCTGTGTGGTGACAAGCAGCACACCTGCAATCACGTTTCAGAAATTATACATCTGCTCATCATCTACACTTTCACCACTTTGAATTATGATCAAATACCTTATTTTTAATTATTTTCACAGCAAAAATAAAGCACTGACAGGTAACATTAAGGACAAGGTCCTGGGGGGTTTTTTTGCCTCTTTTTTTGTTTATCTCCTTCAGTCAAAACCCAGTAATGCTTCTAAATTAAGATAAACTACTTCCAACAGAGCTATTCTGCAGGGGGCAAACTGCAAATTATTTTTAAACCCTTTCATTTTAGTATGACATTTTACAGAATGCATTCATTGTCCCTGTCAACACATGTTGTTCATTTACTAATGTCTTTTTCTACTCTTTGCTCACCTTTCTGCAGTGGAATTCCTTCCTACTGAGCTGATAACTTTCTTTCCAGGCTTATAGCAATCCATTTCCTTCTCAGATAGGCATACAAGTCAGCAGCCTGATGACATACTCAACTTACCACCAGCCCCAGGAACAATAAACCTACTACTCTAGTGCACTAGTACATTACCTCCGAGGCGACACGCATTCTCGCAAGATTGCTTCAGAATTTCCCCACCCAATCATTTAAAAAAATTATAGATGCCTGCAGCAGCTACCTGCAGGCAGCATACACGTGACTGGCTCAACCTCCATCAAACACCATTACCTATTGGGCTCAGAAAAGCAGTATAAGAAAAACAAAGTTTTTAGGCAATACTGAGTTTCAGAGAAGGATGAATCACAGAATCACAGAATGTTAGGGGTTGGAAGGGACCTCTGAAGATCATCTAGTCCAACCTTCATCCCAGCATACCTAACCACTACACCACAGCCTCAAGTGCTAGATCTACTTTTTTTTTAAACACCTCCAGGGTTGGTGACTCCACCACCTCCCTGGGCAGCCTGTTCCAGTGCCTCACCACTCGCTCAGTAAAGAACTTCCTCCGAATATCCAATCTAAACTTACCCTGACACAACTTGAGGCCATTTCCCCTTGTCCTGTCATTAGTAATTAGAGAGGAGACCAGCACCAGCCTCACTACAGCCTCCTTTTAGGTAGTTGTAGAGGGCAATAAGGTCTCCTCTCAGCCTCCTCTTCTCCAGACTAAACAAACCCAGTTCCCTCAGCCGCTCTTCATAGGTCACGTTTTCCAGACCTCTCACAAGGCTTGTTGCCCTTCTCTGCACCCGCTCCAGCACCTCGATGTCCTTCTTGTACTGTGGTGACCAAAACTGGACACAGTACTCGAGGTGAGGTCTCACGAGTGCCGAGTACAGGGGCAAGAAGAATACTTTAAGTTATGAACACTATGATGCCTTGTTCATGGCCCATGGTGGGGATGAGCTCAGTACACCAAGGAAGCCTTCGGGTGGTACCCGGTGTTTTAACTTACCAGCTCCCCAAGCAGCAGAGTGGAAACCTCACACAATCCCAGTGCCACCAACCTGTCAACAAAGTCTGCCATTCCCTCTCATCAGTCATGGAACAGCAGTCATGCTTGTTAGAGCCACAAAAATATAAATGTGATTGTTTTAAGAACTAGAATAACTATGCTAAAGGTTTCTTGTTTAACAGGGTGTGGGGTTTTTAAAAGTATCTACTGAGTCACCTACAGGCCCATCTGTACATATTTCAGCCTTAATGTACAAAATGCATCTTAACATACACTACATTGCTATTTTCCACTATTTCTGCTAACAGCAATTTTTTCACTTTCAAACATAAAACGATCACAGTTAATGGCAAAAAGGCTTCTTTTTTGTAGCACCTGATGCAACAGAAGTATATTAAGAGTAATCCAAATGTAAATAATACAGTAATTATTTTGATGTGAGAGCAAAATGACAAGTGGCAGGAAAAGTAAGAATGCTAAACTAGAAATAGTTACATCGTATTCCTACTCTTATTTTTAAAGGATTAGTAATTATGTTTCAGGTGAAGATTAGTGACAGCCGTAACAACAAATTGTCAATATATATCAATGTGAAGTTCTCCTTTTCCATTCCCACTTGCTGAACTATGGTTTTGAACTTAATACCATACTACTATTATAAAAAATAAGGAGGGGCTCCCATCCTGCGCTGTTCACAAGTGTTTAAAAGTGGTTTAAAACTGAAAGAATCATACAACAGGACAGAAACCAACAAAAAGCAAACAACTATGAGGATGAAAGTAGTTTCCTACATTATCTGAATGTGTTAAGCAAAAGACATCTTGAAAACAGGCAACTAACACATGGCTACTAACAAGTCAAGAAAAATAGTTCTAGTTTACAGCACACTCGATTAAAAACATGGTGGTTTTCTTATAGAACTCATGGATCTGCAGCCATGTGATTATGAGATTTTTTTTACAGATTATGAGATTTTTTTTAACATTTTAAAATTTTTCAGTCTTTGTGACTGCAAATAGTATTTTATAAAGCAGAAAATTTAAGATTAAATCCAAATCCTAGCATTTTCAACCCAACTGTTCTTTTGGAAATTGGGAGGAGTGAGTACTAGGATTGATCTGTGTTTCCTGAAAAATAATACTCAAAAGCAAAGAACTGTAACAGGACATACTCAACTCCTTTCTCATGTTCTTCCCACTCACCTTCTTCAGCGTTCTCAAACTCTGTGTCCTGATTAAGGGAAATCTGAACCTTCCTTCCCAGATTAAAATTTGTTTAAGAAAACAGATCATCACTGTATAACCAATCTCTGAAGTCATTACATTGATGTTTATTATTTCAGTTCAATAACATCATGGTAATTTTCACATAGTTGTATTACTGGGTATCCAATCCTCTTACTCACCCCAGCGACTTTAAAGAAGAGGCCATTATAGTCTGCAGAATATTTTTAATTAGATTTTGAGCTGCAGGATGTCTTTAAAAGCCTTACGTTCAGTTCCACAAATATTTTCCAATTATCAACAAAATAATGTTAAAAAAATCTGAATACATAAGAATTAAAAACATGAAGGCAGTAAAATTGTTTCAATATCTCATTATTTTAGCTCTTATTTTTCTATCCATACCAGCATGGTTATTTAACTCAAAAAAATCTCTGGAATTCTCTAATGGCTTTCTTTGTGGTGACTGTACAAGGAAAAACAGCTGGAAAAAGGCTTGAAATTGTACCAATTGTATCAATTAAAAGTGGTAAAGTCCAGATCATTGTATAGTTTGTCAAAGCAATAAATCACAAAGAATCCTTTTACTTGCAGTCAGAAAACCAATTTTTAAAAGAATTTTCAGTGACAGTCACAGATTTTGCCTTTGAACCACAGTAAGGATTATCTGCTTCAACACTGAAGCAAACCAAAGAGCTTGAGCAGATTTAATATTTAAGTTTGCTTTAACATGAATTCAGGTCAAAAGGCCTGCACAAGAACATCAATAAAAATAAGTTTCCTTAGTACAACAGCACTTATTTTATAGAGTGTTTCACTCATATTAAGTAGCTTAGTCAGCTACATCCAGTCAGTCTTTGCTGGCTATAGATAGCAACCCATAGCAAGAAAGATAATGTATGTGAAAAAAAGAAAAAGTAACAGCTGTAGCTGTTACCTTTTAAATATTTCATGGTTAAACCAATACTGTAAGGGCATTTTCCACAAAAAAAAATCACTTAGGAATCATTTATGAACACATACAAGCATTTGATCAGGAAAATAAATGTGGGTTTTTTCTATTTTTCCATAATTAAAAAGTCATTTAAACTACACTGTCACTCGTATCAATGGGTTATTAAAAGTCATTTTATTGCTTTTTATTCAGCAAGCTGGCAGCAAGCCTAGTGCAGCTGAAACTTGTAAAGAGTAGTGAGCACGCTTTACAGTTCACTCATACAAAGTAGGTCCAATTTCATGTTCTTGCAACGGACCTTCTATAGAAACATTGCAGCAGGCTATCTGCACATTTATGGCAGTCATTCATAAAGGATTTCTGGATGTCCAAAACTCCTGGAAAAGCGTTCCAAAGCAACAGGAAAGCAGATGATGTTAAAGCAGCAGAAAGCTTTCCGTTTCAGCCATCCCAATTAATGCATGATACTGCACAAAGACATTGATTAGCATAGCATAACTATTTCTACCAAACAGATTCTAAAGAATCATCAACTCTTCATCCTAGTTTCCTCATTGGGGAATTGAAAGCTAAACTTTTGAAGTGACAAGTGGCAGACTGAGGCTAAAGAGGACTGCAACAAGCTACAGTGCTCAGGTCGGGTCCCAGTCCGTGTCAGTAAATACAGCCTGAAAAGAAGATGGGAATCCAACTGGAGTAACTTGCTTTCAAATACAGAATCAGCTTTAAAAACCAACAAGTATATTTAACTTTCTCCAGATAACTGAAAATTTGATTAGATCCGGGTATTTTTTGAAAGTGCCATGCAGTCACACCCACAGGATTTTGAGGCATGAGCTAACACCCAGCATGGTCAGTGCTGGGTTCAAGTTACCGGCCTAACAGCCCCAAGGTGATCCAGTGTTCCGCTCTCCAGCACCTCCACCCCTTGCTCCAGATGGACAGTGCAGAAAAACCTCAGTAAATCCATGTCACTTCTGGCAAGACTTTGAAATCAGTGCAATCACATCCATGTAGCATTGCCTCTGGGCTAGAAAATCTTGACTCATGTTTGCTCCCAAAGCAAACATGGTTTATCTGCACACTCATAGAAGAGAGATGACATGTCTGGTTCTCACACCTACTGGCTAAGCTTACTCCATTTCAGTGTTTTTCTAATAATTTATTACTTTTAACTTTAAGACTAATTTTATATATTCTCCTGGTTTTATATGAAACTCAATTCTGTGTCTTTTTGTTTATGCGGTGTTAAAATGAAAGAGTGCAGGACTCATTTACAAAACAGCCTCTATAGGCCACAAGACTGACTTGGAAACTGACTGCACAGCTACCAAATTCTGAACGTGTCATATATAATCATTCACATTTTCCCCACATGCATTAATTTGTATGAGATGTCTATGAAGTAAAAATGAGTAGCAAGAACAATAAAAAAAGCAGGTGTAAATGTAGGAACTGTAGCACAAAAATAGTTCCAACTGATGTGTTACAACATATCATTAAATACAGCAATAATTGCAAAATAATTAATTTTGTGAAAATGAGTAACCAGCAGTAAATTTTAAATTCCCTACAGAGTTTTCTGTTCAAGATTTTTCAGTCTTATAAAACAAATTCATAGAGGAAGATATGGAAAAATATTTTAATATAATAATGTGCTCATAAAGATAACAATCTTCAGTCTGAGTAATCTGTAAACAAGCGGAAATTACTTTTAGTTTATTTTAGTTTATTTATGGAACCAGCTATTTCAAGTGTGTTCATCAGAGTGACAAACTACGTATCCTCGTTTTGTGAGATTGTTAAATATAACATCACTAACATGGTCACACTGATTGTAATAGTTTGTCTACTTCTTAATGACTGTATTTACTGACTTCACCTTTACTTAAGTTCCAAAAGATTTTCTTTTCGAGTGGTTACGTATCCAAATTGCTTAGTATTTCACCCTTCAGTTAATGATGTAATTTAATAGACATGGTAAGTCAAGCAGTTTGTTTCCGTAAAAGACCTTTGCAATTTTTTTCCACAAGATGCAATAATTTTCATAAGAATGACATAATACAAACAGCAAGTGGCTACAAAACCAAGCACAGTTTATATTTTTTTTATTGAGAGCTTTATTCTTTTGGATAGAAACAGCATTTAATTCTCATTCCATTTAATTAAAATTCTTAGCATTGATTTATCTAATTCTCATAAACATGAAGTTTTAAAATAAAACCTAGGCCTCCTTAAACTGTAATGTTAATAACAGTTATTGAGCAACATCATAAAGCAGTCTAGTAAGCCCAAAGAATTTTGTCCAATTACTGTTTTATGTGATTAGGAAAAAAAGAAGTAGTAAAACTTAAAGGCCATACTTTCTTCCTAATTTTTCAAATATATGATCTAGTTGGAAGTTACACTCATAACACTTAAGTAAGGCTGCTTAAGCAAAGGACTAGATCTCCTTCATGTCTATATTGAGCTCTTACTGTATCTAACAAGAATTATTCAAGTCATGTGGAGATCCAGAATATATTTTTAAAATCCCTCATCACTGAAGGAGTTCAAAGTCAATGACATAGAATTTTACTTAGGATGACACTGAATAAAACAGCATTGTATTAATTACTTCAGGAAGATGAAAAAATGTGATTCAAGAAGACAGAGCAAAATATATTTTGGTTTTGTTATTTCTTAAGCTTGTATCACTTGAAAGAAAAAAATGTTTTACTCATGCAAAATATTAGGAAATCAGTCTGGTACCGCACAATACGCATTTCTATGCACAAAGGTGATGAATCATTATTACAATCTCTATTATTATAATCACTTTCTTAAACTGTTTTTCTTTACATATTCTTACCAAATGTTACTTCTCCATTGCCACTCTTGTCAAATAACTGAAAAGCAACAATGAATATTGCATCTGGAGCACACAAAACAGATTCAAATGCCAAAAATTCTTGATAGGAAATCAGCCTACAAAGGAAAATATAGAAGTTATAAAGATTTCAAAAATTATTCACAATACCAGTGATATTTTGTGTTTGATGCTTTAAAAAACTGTATGATCCAATTATTAACATAAAATTCTAATATAAAATAGTTAAGATTCCACACTAGAAATTGAAGAAGTAGTTGTTACATTGAAGTACTTAACCTTTATGCAACTCAGTTTCTTCCTCTATAAAAGGACTGAATTCTTCATATCCATCAACAACAAAATATCAATTCTGAGTGAATACCAACAATTTATTATCTCACAATTACACATGTAAGCAGACAGCACTTTAAAAATAAGACATAAAAAACCCCCACAAATTCTACCACCATGAAATTTATGGGGCTTTCATTACATGACTAATTTATATACGTATTTCTACTGATTAAGATAAGCTGGTTTACTGCAAGTATGGGAATATACTACACATATGTATTTTCTTAAAACAATGTACAACACTCATAAAACCCAAACAGGTTCAGAAAAAAGTTCTACTTTTCTATGTATACAGAAAAAATATTACACTTAAAATATACCTCAAACCACAGTGTCATGTACTTGAGAACAAAGAAAGAAAGAAAAAGAAAGAAAGAAAGAAAGAAAGAAACAAACAAACAAACAAACAAACTCTAAGAACATCTGGACATAAGAACAGTTAGGCATGACCAATGCAAGGAAGGGTTTGAGTGCAACACGAGATCACAAGATTCTGAGCAACGTGTGCAAGACAGGCACCTTACAGAAAAATGCAACTCCAGATACATTACGAAAGCTGCTTCTGTGCGAGATAAGGAAACACGGGTACTCCCAGACAGGGTTCCCACACCATCTCTGGAACGCTGCATACAAATCCAAGCCCTTGTGTTCATAAACTCCGACTTTGATGTATGCACAGGCAACTTACTAGGATAATCATAACCAAGTTTCCTATTAGAACTCATCTGATTCTGACTAACAGAAAAAAAACATTTCGAAGGGATCCTAACGCTGTGAGAACAGCTGCAGCAAGATAAGCCTGAAGCCAGGAGAAGACAAAAGCATAATGTTGTCAGAAGAACAAAATCACATATCCATAAAGACATTTAGAGCAGACATATACTGTAGCCCTTCCAGAATACTGCAAGCAAAAGCCATAAGTTTCAACACCAGACTTTGATTGTTAAAAGTACTGTGTGCTTTCATCCTTATAAAAATAGGGGCCTTAGCTTGATTAGTTTGAAACGTTCCACCCAGTTACAAGTTCCTGAGCTCAATTTGCAGAAATAAATTATATCTATTTTAGCATCAAATAAATTATCAATGGGAAATAGAATTTTAACTACTTTTTAAAATTAAACAAAAAAATTGCTATCTCAGTAGATGCTGTTAAAACATAGACTATCACTGTAGATGACACATTTTCCTAAAATATGTACATAATTGATCTGAATTTAGTACTCTTCATAGGAGATCATTAGCTCAAAGTGATTACTTCACACATATACTGCTTACTGGTAAAGAGCCATTTATAAATTGTTCCCTACAGGAAAAAAATAATAAAAAACCAAAATCAATCAAGCCACACTATTCATTACGTGGCCTAGTCTTCTCTGTCACAGTACACTCAAGGCAGAATTGAGATACTTTAAACAAGGTTACATACGTTAACATTCTTCAATACATGCATTATACAGAAAATACAGAAAAACCTCTATAGTGATTTTGAAAGGACAGAAAGACATGGCAAATACAGAATTATATTAATTTGTCATATTCTAGCCACAAAAATCAAAGATGTGAGAATCATTCTCCAGATGCAAAGTCAATCTCATCCAAACCATGACCTTGATAAGCAAGGGTTAACTATTGGAGAAACAGAATATCCTTTGAAGTAATTGTAAATTCCATAACTTCAAAATATACCTCACATACAAGTAAAAACTTGACACACAAATTAATTCCTAATGAGGAAGCTTTATAACTGACAGAATCAAGTGATGATCTCTGGAGAATGCATTTGTAGAAGCCTGAACCTGAAAGAAGCCGTCTTCAGAGGTCTCACTTTAACAGTGCCTACAGCAAAAGGAGACAGACACATTCAATTTCCTTTCCGTACATTCAGCTTGCAATGCCTACGAGCAGCACCAGCCCCTGTGATCCTCCCTTATCCATTAGGGCAGGGATAACAGGAGCTGGATTAAACAGAACACTGGAGCTTCCCACCCAATCGCTAATAAGAATCATTCAGTGAACGCACTGCATTACAGAGTCCATAACAATATCAGATCACTCACCTTTCATTTTACCTGTAACATTTTTTAAAAATTCATTGTCTTATTTCTTCTGTACTGTTACCCTTCAAAAGCACACACGTACGTTTATAATTCTTCTCAATCTTTCCTTTTTTCCTGCTACAAATCTTTGCTCTTTTTTCCCCACACAATATAGCTTTTGTACATTATGTTTAGTTCTGTTGTGAAACTCCATTATGTGAAACATCAATTCTTTCTTCAGGACTGACATTAAGAACATATGTTCAAATTTTAAGAACAATATACTGATAAAAAGAGTATCCAGAAAGAAGCAATTAAAATTAAGAATTTTGAATTACTATGGCGACATTTTGAAGGTTTGAGAGAGAAGGAAATCTTTGATTTCAACACTGCTAATGTTAATTGGGAGGCTGGTTTTGGCACACATATATAAGTACATTATTCAGAGAGGATACCTATCCTGATTTCAAAACTATTGCCTGCAGTCTGAAGACATAGGAATGCTTGTAGCATCAGTGAAATCCTATTGTATTAAACAGAGAGACAGTTCAGGCCAAATTCTAATTTAGAGCTCATCACATTAATTTCTCAGAACATGCATTTCTAACAATGAGGAATAAACACTTTGAAAGGCAACAGCCAGCTGTTTTAGGAACTACCTTATAGAGTTTCACTAAAGCAAACCAGTCTTGTACTGTAGTAATAGCAGAAGGCAATGGCACTCTGGAACAGTCAAGTACGGATCAAGTTACCATCAGAAAAAAAGTAAAAAAACCATTTTTTTAAATGTATGCCTACAGTCAGTCAGTTCCAATATGTGCTTTTTGTCTAATGTGCAAAACTTAAATCTAACTGAACTAAAAAAAAAAATAAAATTAATAAAGAAAAGTTACCAAGAATTCTTTAAGTATTTATTTGAAGGGCAAGCAAGGCTAGGAGAATATGATATCAAATTAGTCAGCTGTTCTACCACCCAATGTGTCCTGGTTTGACACAGTCACCCCCGACACACTCACCCTGAGAAGGAGAATCAGGAAAAGGAAAGGAGACCTGTGGGTTGAAATGGATTTAATAAAATAATAATTTAAAACCTCTAATATTAATACTGTTACTAATATAAAGTACACAAAGTTATACTCAGCCCATGTAGTGGTAGACGAGCTGCACACTCCCAGCAGCGAATGCTGGATGTCAGGTACTGCGAGCACCACAGCTCCGGTGAAAACACAACGGTCACAGCAAAGAGGAGAGCGCGCCTCAGGACCAGAACTATGGATGAGGCCCTCTAGGGATGGCGGCCACTTAGGAGAAGGGACCATTCCCAGCAAGCTTTCTAATTTACAGTGAGCGTGACATTTATGGTTTGGAACACTTCTGTGGGCCAGTCTGGGTCAGCTGCCCTGGCTTTTACTCTTCCCACTTCAGCATCTGGCTAACTCTAAACTGCTAAAGACCTTGATCGCTAGTGAAACCCACACAGCATGCCCAGCCACAAACAGAAACAGTGTCTTATTAAGTTTGCTGTCACCAATCTGCTGCTGCAGTCTTCTCAAAAAAATAGTGTTTCTGAAGAGAAACTTGATTCTAACCCAGGGAAACCAGGACACAGATAACCAAAGCTTCTTAATGACTTGTTGTGTGACGTTGGTCTGTCATTTAATTTACAAATGTACGTATGGAATAGGACTACTGATACTCTTTTGGACTTCAGAAAGTAACTTGAAGTCATTGGAAAGATATAAAGCACTCTGGATTCCGTTGAAGATTACAATAATTATTCATGCTAAAAATTAAACTCTCAGTGCAGATGATATAGTTATTGGAGTCTAGATTTTTATATATTACAGCTCACTACAAATGAAGGAATGTAAATGTAAAAGTAAATAAACCAATGATGAACATGAGAGTGAAACAAATTCTTCACATGAAATACAGATTAGAGATAAATATAGACTAAAACATGTAGGAAAGTAAGTTTCAGGGAAGTATTCACACAAATACTTTGCACTGCAGACCATAAGGTAGTAATTCCCATTCCCACTGTTGCCATACAGAAGTAGATAAATACACTTACTCATTTTTTATTATCTCACTTCCAACATTACCCAGATTTAAGAAAAATACCCACAAAACAACAAAAACTTATGTTCACAGGGAAGGCAATAAAAAAATGATGACTTAAAAGTTCTGAAAGATCCTTTTATAAGACATTTTCTGAAGAAATGCACGCCATAAATGATAACCAACAGCTTTCAGAGAAACAAAATACTCAACATGTTGGTTTACTAGTCATCAATTAGTCTATTATTTCAGCAGATACAAATAAAATAGCCTTTTCAATCTGTAACAATGCCACAAATTGCAGCCAAATTGAAAACAGAGAGACAGGCTAATTGGATTTATCAAATGTACATATATATCACATACATTATTAACATTCTGCAGCTTTATAGAAAAAAAATTACATCAAACAAAAGACACTATATTTGTCATTTAGTGTAAAATGTATACAGCATAAACAATTTCATGTGTAAGCAAAGACACTGTGCAAGCTGCTAAGGATACTATGCAAATTAATCAAACATTCTAAAGCAAAACATAGGAAAACAAAGACATTTAAGTGATGTCAAAGGTCAGATTTACACTCACAAATCCAAGGAAGTTAAGGGGATTTCAATTTCAAGTAAGTTACATCTATATATTTACAGACATATAGCACACTATTGTAACAGTTACTTTCTCTTCTCTACAAAATACCCATTCCCTTCTTCATTCTTGACCTGTTCTCTGACCTATCTTAACCTTCTCCTTTTACTTGAACTACGTCCATGCTTCCTACTACAATCCAAGGCCCAAACCAGAAGCCTACACACAGCAAGAGAAAAGGCTCTTTGAAGACAAGTTATAGAGTCCCACCTCAGCAGAGTGGGCATTTTGTAAATTATTTTCAGAGAACTCTCTAAAAGTGACTAATAGCATCTGTAAGCACTGTCGGTAGGGCTTTATGTGGTGTGACCTCATCTTGACTAGGCAAAGACTTTCTTCCTTCATAAAGTCAATGTCTCTCTTTCCTAATAGCTAACACTTCAAGAAAGACCTCAGTGGTTTGATTTGAATTGCACGCTGCAGAAATAAGAAAGCATTTCCCTGTTTCCATGTTTAATTACAAGTATTAAAGATCCTATATAGTATCTAATCATGGACATGAGTATACAGAAAAGAACTTTTCCAAAGCAACCATACTGTAGTAAACTTATTTGCAGTTCAACTTCCTCTGCATTTGTAGTAAAAGTCAATTAAAACAAATCTTTATTTTAAAAATGCATGTTAAACACCATATTTTTTCCCATTTCCTCAAATTTATAGTCTTATTGTACTTTAGAAAAAAAGTATCAAATTAAGCTTAAAGTGTAAAAAAAAATCTGTAATGTGTTTTAGTAGATGAAACTATTAATATTGTTCACTCATGCATTTATCAGTGCATTACAAGCTTCTAATGGAAAGCAAAATTCTCACCCATCTTTAGTTTGATCTGCCACTCCAGCCAGCAGCTGCACTGTTTTAGGATTGTAACGTGGATCTGTATGAAGTCCTAGGTATTTTTGCACAAAATCTTCTGGAGTCATGTAATGCTCACCATCTTTCTCAACACTGGCATACTAAAATAAAAATAAAAAACAAAACCACACAAACAAAAATTTAGATGCTAATTATCAGCGATTACCAAACTAGTATCTTTACTGAATATCACAACTGCACAACTGCTCTGAAATTGAAGAGTCTGATTAAACCAATAGTGTTACTATACTGGTTGCATACCACTAACAATCACATTATTTCTGTAGAACAGACATGTTCACATAATGACCAATATCTTCTAATAAGAAGACAATTATATATTTTCAGAAACTGCGAGGTAATTGTATAAATTTATAAAAATTAGAGCCATGCTGTAGTTCTTCATTTACAGCTACACTGTGAAAACACAGCACAGATTTTCTTACCATTTCTAGTAGCAGATATCTTCCAGATAATTGTTTCTGATGATTACTATAATTGGTTTAGAAAGTATTTTTTTCTCCTTTTCTGAGAAAAAAAATTTCAGATTAATTTCGTATCTTGAAATTGGTTGGCTTTGGCATTTTTCATTTAAAGTAAAAATTTACACATACAGACAAAAAAGATTTGAGCCAGTGGTATGTTTCAATTTGATTCTGAGTTTTAATTTTATTAACAATAAATTTTCAAATAAAAGTCACATGCAAATTTTAAATTACAGAATGCAAATACTAATAAAATTAACTAAAAATAAAACAACCAAATATATCTTTATTACTTGTACACCAAGACAACTGCCACATGTCTGTATGAGTATTCTTACCGACCACTTTTCTGTTTAAAATCATTAATGATTGGCTCTTAACTGCAGGCCAACTTTAAATTAAAACTGAACATTTTAGCATAAAGTAAATTCCATGCTCTCAGCTGTCCAGTTATGCTGAGTAAAACCCATCTTGAACTAAAAACATGAGGAGGCAGGAGAAAGCATCACAACTCATAAATAAAAGGAAAATGTATTACGGGAAGTTCATACCCTTCAGATCTTGTTTCTAGATGGCAGTGCAGTTGCAGGAAAAAAAAAGTCTTGTAGTTCATTTACGATATGACAGTAACCTTGGAAATAAACCCAAAGTTTTCAGATTGCAAAGTTAAGCTATGTTTGCATCCTGGAACACAAGAAAGTAGTTCACAAAAGAGTTCTAGTTTCCCAGCCACTGTGGCCTGATCCAGTTTGATGATGGCATTTGTTTCTCAGCATTTTTGCTCACAAAACCTGTAAAGTAGCTCATTTAATACCTTAAAATCCATCTCTTCCATTCACTCTCTACTGTGTAGTCTGCTCACATACACAATAATTTGGATGCAGACCTTAAAACGTATACATAGAACCTCATTCTCAGAAAGAGAAGTTACAGAACTACAAAGCTCTCATTAGAAGTTTGATTTGCAATAAAAGTAGTGATTTTTAATTAAAAATTTAATTCACCTTTCTCAGTTCTAGAGTTTAAAAGATTACTACATCAGTATTCTCTGCAGAAAAAGAAATGGCAGTGCGCCCAAGACTTATAGTACAACATCTATGCTGCTCAGTTCAAACTTCAACTCATAGCCTTGCCTGTAATTTGTAAATTTTCCATTATACACTACAGTATCTTGATTCATTTGACACAACTGTATGTGAAAGAATATAAAAATGGGCTCTTACTGTGCCATGAAATTCAAATATTAACAGCCAGACCTACACACAATACCTGTTAAGGTGTAACACTCCATTATGATGAAGTTCACCTGTCTCACACTTGTTTCAGCTGTGTGCAACCCAATCAGCTCAGCCAGGACTCTATTTCAGCATAAAGGAGCTTACAGGAGCACCAGTGCCTGCTAAAGCATCTCCCATATCTCGTCCACAATACCAGCCCCACACATCAGCTCATCACCTCTCCCGCTTTCACTCTATAGCTGACATGACAGCTGTTTGCACTGTAAACCAGATTATCAAAATAACGCAGAAATAAAATAGATGATTTCCACAAAAACAGGAAACAGGCAAGTGCAGAACAGAGCAGTGCACAGGAATCCTTCAATTCAGCACTGCTGCTGACATGACAATGTAACAAAACTGTGGCTTCAATGAATCAGGTCAGAAAGATTCTTTCCTCAGTTGTATATGCAAGTGGCTAAAAAATGCACTATGAAGCACAATTCTGCTGCAAGACATGCAATCCAAATAAAGTTTTATGCATAAAGGACCATCAAAAATGTAGAATACTGAGTTTATCTTCAAGAATAACAAAATTTAACAGTAGAGTGCCTATCAAAGACAGCCAAAATCTAAATGTCATCACATTTTTTTCTTCCGACACCCATTTATCTATTATAAATAGTGAATTGTTTTACTGTAAAAACTGTGTGGGAAGTTTTGTTAAAAAAAATCTGAGACAAAAATAATTAACTGTCAGATACATTGAGCTCCATATGAGAAGGTCATGGTATTTTGAAAGAGCTTGGCAGTGTGCCAATAAATTAAAGCCCAACAAAGTAGATGGGCTATTCCCTTTCAGCATGTATTTACATTTGTCCTCAAGTTATCTTTTCATGGTACAATTTAAAACCACAAGTCTTTTAGCACAGAATACGCAATTGTAAATTATATCTTAACTTGCATATAAAGCCTAATACATCAATTAATTCTGTATTTTCCTGTCTTGAATTATATTACTACATAACACAAAATTCTTACTGTACACTTATACTGTCTCAGGTAAGCACTTGAATTTGCATAAGGCCTTTTTTTTAAACATTATCAGATAACACAAACACACAAAAAACCTACCCTAGTTGTGCAATATAGTGCTAGGCATTGCCACAGTTTCAGAAACAATGCCTTCTTTGAAAAATTGATTAGTTCTCAATTTAAAAATAAATAAAATTTCAAAATAAGTTCAAAAACCAAATGAGACCTATAAGTACTCTCAATACTTTTTTTTAATTAAGCTAAGCTATGAGCAAGAGATTCAGGACATTTTTAAAGGAGCGTATGAAAGTTTCCTGTGTTAAAATTGGTAATCTGTTTTTGTTTCTTTCTCCACCTTGCTGGAACAGGTTGCACTTGCATTGAGCAATCGGGGAATAATTTACTTATATTCCCCAAGGGTTGATTGTGTCTCCTCTAAGAAAAAAGAATGAAGGCTCACTAAGAAATCTGATAACTGCTGTTCTACACAACTTTCATCCTTCAGTGAATTTCTGTTCTGTTCTTTTATGGCTGTTACTAAAGACAGTGGTGAGCAAACACCTGAGAGGTAACTTATTTGATGGTGCACAAATATGAAATTTCAATGCCTGTATTTCATAGTTACAGGATTACATAGAAATAATAGCACATCTTTTAAATACAAGTCAAAGTTAAGATTTGTAATGATTTAAAATAATAAAAATAAATACATGCAAGCTTCCAAAATTATAAGAGAAAGGTATGTATCAAGCATCCATTATGATACAAGTTAAACAGGATGGACAGAGGGCACATATGACATTAGAGGACACACATGAACAGAAGGAAATTTAAGTACACTCTCTATGAATAAGGTGGATGACGAAGAGGCCTAGAGTTCCCATCTTCCCCTCCACCTATTTCCAAGGGAAGCCAAATTTAGGAAGGAATGCACGACCTTTAGCTGAAGCTCAGAGAACAGGCCAGCACTCTCAGCGAAGAGCACAACATATCTGACCCCTGATGTGTGCAACACTAGCAACTTAGTCTTGGAAAGAGGGGGTTGTCTTGATTTTTTTAAGGTTTACAACTAAGTTTGCTTGTTACCTATCAAACAAACAAACCAAAAAAAAAAAATCACTTCAAACTCAATTATTATCAAGTATAATCTAAAAGAAATATAAACACTTTTCTCTTTCCATGCCAGAGGTGTCTGTGTTCTCTTTTTTTACTACAAAACTCAAAAATTCAAGAGGAGACAGGAGAGGTTTTGCATTCTTCACTCCTGAGAGCACAAAACAATCCACAGCTTAATTTGCAGATTTCTTTAAAGATTATAAGATAGACATGGAAAAGACTAAAAAGCTGTTTTAAAACCAGACTGTCTGCTTTTTAGGTCAGTAAAACACTTATTGTCAGAGAGACAATTTCAAGATTCAGCTGTACAATGTTCTTCCTCTCCAAGTCTCCCTGCATGACCAAAAATCAAGGACTTCAAACAATTACTTCCAAAAGCAAGCACTTCTACTGACTAGAAGTAAAGAATCATAAAAAGTCCACACTTCCAAGTTGAATAGGGTATTTTGAAACCACATTTCATTTTTTTTGGCAATCAAACATATAAAAGTATCTTGCAATAAGTTGGAAAAGAGCTGTGTGATGTTCTAGAACCATGTTTTTACATTGCATTAATATATATTTTAAGAATCATATTTTCACATTGTTTATTTTATTAACACACTCTACCGCATTCCTTACATAGACAAGCTAAATGTCAACAGGAAATTAAATTGTGATAGAAGATTTTTTTACTAGAAACTAAATGCTGGGCTTTCGTGGTTTGATTCCAGCATTCCAAGTTTGGGCACTCCAGCAATGTTAACAGCGTAATCCAGCATGTAAAAGCAAAAATATACTAAAATTATGGTTGGGATACAACTTCTGTCTCAGGCAAAAATGTCCCTCCATCTACTCATCTTATGTGGGAAATCAGAATACAGTAGGACCAAAAGATATATGTCAAAGAAGAAATAACAGATTATTTATAATAATAGCTCTAATACTTTATATTATTTCCTTTTTCATAGAGGAAAGCTTCTTGAATATACTGTGTAATACTCAACATAAAGGGAAAAGAAAAAAGATGTGATTCTGGAAATATCAGTGGCCCAACTATGGACCTAAAACATATTTGTTGTTCTTACTCCATCTGCCTCGTTCAAACCTTATTATCAAAGTTTTAGGGTTGATGGGATTTTCCTTTTAGATTGTGCTTCACTGTAACTAAGGGCAATGGAGAAAGATTTGTGCTGTAATTTATACACGTTAATTCTAAGGGCTTGCAAGGGACGCTTATTATGAAACACATCAATCTTAAGAAATCCATTCTAAGTTCTAAAAAAATTGCCAGTTGTGCATCCATTTGTAAGAGGAACACATATAAACACCAAGGACAAAAGATAAAGCCGTGAAAGAAGAATTTTTTAGAATCTTGCAAAAGCGCATTCAAAAAATAGCAGTACTTCATCATGCTTATACCTCTTTGCTTTATAGGAAATCAGAAAATACTTTGGAAAATTATTTAAGACTACAACTGGGAAACAGCTGATCACGATTTGTGTCAGGAGCGGTTTCTCCTCAAAGCCTGACGGTCCTTCCCACAGGCTGTGCCCGCAAAGCCAACTTTCGGGCGCCTCGCGGGCACGACAGCGCTTATGAGGCCGCGGCAAACTGCGGAAAAGGCAAAACCCAAGCGTCTGCCAATCCAACAACACCAGACAGATCGTTTTACCTGCAAAAAAACATTTCGTAGCTCAGCGGGATCCGCTCTCTTGGTGGAGTGCACCTGTAAACACAAGCAAGTTACTGCTTCGCGGGCCGGGCTACTGAGGGAGCGCACAGAAGACCCGCGGCGATAAGGGCGGCGATAGCGGCCCCTTCATCTAACCGACGGG